AACAATAATGTACAGTATGTGGAAAATAATGTGTTTTTTAAACCTTAAACCGCATAAGCATTTCATTACACCAAATACACAATATAATGTTCTTTTTAGCAACATCATATGGCCCCTTTAAAATCACAATCCTGCACAAGCCAAGATGCTTCACTATTGATGATGACTATTGCAATGTATCATTACTATCCAAGGTATAAATTAAAGTGTTATTATTTGCTTTAAAAAAGTTAGTTTGCCATTTGCTGTCTGCTATTTCTTTAGCACGCCATCTAATCTCCTTGAAAAAAAAAAAAAGCATTTGTTCCTGGCAACGGCAGTATGGAAAGCATTAGGGTGTTTACTCTTCAAACATGAGAGATTAGGGCCTTTCGCACCGTGGGAACCTTTTCATAGTACCAGAACTAATTGTGTAACTAACCACTTTTTGGCGTTTTGCGTCCTCCATCCTCCTGTTGTTAATGTTGTTCTTCTTTGTATCTGTTGTTGAACGCCACGCACAAATGACGACGCTGTCGACCGACTTACGTCACTTCTTAGTACACACTGTCGGTGCGAATGCAACCCTTTAAATGGTACTGGGAAATAGTTCGCACAAAATCGTCCCAGTACTTTAGTACTGTACATTTAGTTCTGGAACTAAAGCGGTGCGAAAGGCCCTTTAGTTTCAAAGTGAAGCAAATTATCGCTTTGAGAGAGAAAGGAAATGTATTTATCATGAAATTCATGTCCTGTGGACACTGAAGCTGAGAAACTGTACAGTAATAAGGCATTTAACAGAGACTGATTACTTTTGGTCTCGTCCTAGATGGGGGAATTGTTTCTAACCATGACACTTAGGGTTTTTGGGCAATCACATTTAAAATAAACATCACCCTTCTTCTCTTATAATGAATAGCTGGAGCAGCAATCAGCTGCTTGTTGGACTGGTCTTTATGCGTGTTTGTATGTGCACTTATGCTGCAGGGTGAGATTCTGCTAGCTTGTCGTTCCCAGGAGCCTCAGCGCGTTTATTAAGCAGGGTGATTTCACAGACAATCTGAGGTTTGTGAAGGCGCCAGTGAGCGGGGAGATGAAAGGCGCCTCTCCTCGGGGGAGAAACTGTGGCAGTTTATCGGCTCCACTCAGGAGGAGTCGCCTCCCTGTACACACATACACACACACGCAAACACACACGCATGCACACACTCAGCTGTCACGCCCCTGCCCTTAGGCACCTTGTTGAGCACAATCCAACTCTTTGCGTAGATTGACTAAGAAAGACTGCTGAACTGTAGTGATAGATGAGAAGGACATACGTTCGCAGTTGAGGATCATAGGAGCTGACAGGAGACATATGAGAAATACTCACCGTGAGAGAGAGAAGAAAAAGCAATGTTATGCCTTAAATATAGTGTTCAAAAGAGATGCAGGAAAATTACCCTTTAGGATAAGCTTTTCTGAAATTGACCAACACATATTCTTTCCTTCCTCTCTGATCTCTTTGACCTTTGTAAATAAATGGAGGCAGGTTTGCCAGAGAGTGCAGAAAATGTCAAAAAGAGTGCTCCTGGTTTTTCTGGTATGTTTGGACACACCTTGAGCATTATAATTATGGGCTCAGCTTTGCAGTGCAGGAATGCTTGTGCAGCTATTTAAATTTCTTCCATCTAACAAACTGTTTACACATCTATTTGCCCAGCTTTACACACGCTATGATCCACCAAATCAAACTTGCACCTGGCCATATCATTTCTCGATCATTCTTTACTCAATAGGGATTTCTGTCAACTGAACATGACAGATTGGCAGATGTTATCTACCTACCTCTGGTTCAAATGTGAACATTAAATATGATTTTCTGTCAACTTTACATCACCATTGTTCAGTTTTTAAACATTAACTTAGTTTAAACTAAATACTCTCAGGACAAGTAAGGGTCAAAAGGGATAGAGTAAGAAGGTGCAATTCAATGTGAATCTTGTTTGAGGAGAGCAACATATGTATTGTCTTTGTACTCAGATAATGCAGAGAATAGGGGATCACAAGCCTTGTCTCACTAATTACACTGCATGACAAGACTTGGCACAGGTGACAGCAACTGTCATCGCTTTGTTTTTATTAGCACCTTATTAGGCTTCCAGAGCCTTCTCTTAGAGCAAACATTTGCTGTAATGAGAGAAAATTGCTACCCACCAAAGGAGGATGGCGCCAGCTTCAATTAGCTCAAGGGAGGAAGGTATTACTTAGAGGCAAATAAATTATCATGTAATATAAAAAATGATTCACTCAACCCATGATAGGTTCCTTGTTGTGCAAGTCTACCTTTTTGTTGACAAATACCTGCTGACTAAGTGATGTTTTTTTTTTAAAAGAACTGAAAATGTAACCGTTTCTTTAAAAGGTAGTATGTTATGTTTTGGTATGGTTTCTTGTCTTAGTTGCCTCCGGATTGTTCACTGGGGGGTTACAGACAAACATATTAAGGCATAACTTCTTAAGGTAAAGTCATTATTACTGTGATATTGTTCTTTAAAGCTTTGAAAAAAAATTGAATAAGGAAAGTGCTATATAAAAATTAAACCAATTGACTTGATATCTTTTTTATGTTTTGAATTTTTTAATTGATCATTTTAATGTATAGAAAAAAAAAATGTATGTGTATGTAATGTATAGAAAAATATGTGTATGTTCCACCATCCCTGCAACACTAAAAGCGGCTTGGAATATCAATTGTTGGATTTTTATTTTTTTATCAAGGTGATGCATGGTAATAATATGTTGCTCTGCACTGATTGTTAATGAAGGCAAAGTATTGACTTAAAAGACTTTCAAATCCTCATTAAAAAAAAAAATCCCTACAGGGAAGGCCCAAACAAACAACATTCAGCTGGCCTCTTTTTGGTTCTGGGTCCTCTTATTGGATCCCTGGAGATGTGCCATGCTTTGTAATCTCAGATTGCCGCCATGCCAGATCCCTGAACCGATGAAGGCATTAGGGTTCATGACTCACCCACCTTCATGACTAAAGTTTCCGTGTAAACGCCCACAAGTAAATGAAGGGGCCCTTGCGCGACCTCTCATTTCTCATAGACAGTGACTGAGCAATGCACGGAAGCCTTGATTTATGAGAAGAGTTTACAACACAGAGACAGGCTTTTAATTTAGGTCAAGGGCCTAGCTTGGCGTAATTGTTTTTTAAATGTAGGGAATGGTACAAAAAATATCGGTTGCCACAGCAAAAGCGTGAAGAAGAATTACCCCTGGAGATATCCGCTCAAGTTCTTCCATCACCTTAAGTTGGACTCATTGTTGACTTGAATGATGTCTGTTCACCTCAAAGAACTCTTTAGAAAGAGATATCACGTGTGGTTTCTAAATATGGACACTGAAGGAATTAGAACACGGGCTAAAACAACGAAACAGACCGAGACTGTTATTCACAAGTGCGGTCACAATAAACCCTCTAGACCCAAACACAAACAGGGCACGGCATGTCACCCGACACCTGGACAGCGGGTGTCCCCTTCATTAATGCGATCCTTCCTGCCCCCCAGCCCAAGCAGACGTTTGCCCCCGACCACAACAACATTTAATGAGAGAGAGACGCCAGGCACAGTGGGGCAAGTCAGAGTGGGAGGAACTCCCCCCCCCCCCCCCCCAGCCCCCTACACGGGCTAAAACAACGCAATAGACCGAGACTGTTATTCACAAGTGCGGTCACAATAAACCCTCTAGACCCAAACACAAACGGGGCACGGCATATCA